AAACTGTCTACTTGCATGTCCCAATGCCAGTTCAACCATCATAGCAGGCCACCAGAGGGAAACCATGTATAGCCAGGTACACACACCTTGCTAGCATGGCTTGCTTGGACGATTCTTCATAACTAGGTCCCCCAGTAGTGCCCTAGTACCTTTTTTTTTAAGGGAGGGTTCCCCTACTAAAATAGACTGCAGAAAAAAATGAAACGGTCGCCTTATTCTAACCTCTCAAATCTGGAGGTCCTAGATAAATTCGCTTCCCTTTTTGGTGGTTGAGCATCACCTCCTTCGTTTCCTCCTGGGGCGCCTTCGAGGTTTGGCATCGTCATGCCCATCGGCGACCTTTTGGAGCACGGCCTGTGGGCCCTAGGCGCGGAAACCGCGCGCAGCTTTTTTTGCGCGGGGAGGTGCCAACTAAGTCTTTGGTTTGCTTTCCCTATAGCTCACTTTCCGAGTTGTTGGCCTTGATTTGACCCATCCACTTGGACAGTGACTTAAAGGAAACCCAAACCGGGATCCTTGTGGTTTCCGTTTTTGCGATGCTTGTGGTTTCCATGTTTGTCCTTTGCTACTTGGCGCGGGGGCATTTGTCCATTTTCCCATGCAGGCAGGGAAAGGGGCCTTACACTTGGGATCGAATCGCCCAATCGGCAGATGCCGCAAGGTGTCTGCGAGTTTCTTGGGACCTTCATGCTCTGCTTTGTGGCGCTGAACGTGTGCGTCGGAAACCGCGCGGAGGCTTGCTCGACCCGGGGACCCGTTGTTTTCTTCTTATGTTTTTCTTCGGATGAAAGTGGCACCAAGACGGTCGTCGATGACTCTACCGCACCTTTGCTATTTTGGTTTGGTCCTGCCAAGTACTCCGTTGTTGTTCGACAAAACTTTATATCCTTGTGCACCAGACCCTATGATATCTTTACCACATGCCTCCCAAATGAAGGAGGACTCAACAAGATCTCAGCACTCTCCTCAGGGTTGAAACACAATCCTCCCCTCTCTTTTGTGCCCCAATTTGCAGAGCAGTAGAAGACTCAGCTGGCAAAGAATAGTGGAAGCCTGCCAAAGTGCCACGCCGATGCTTCGAAGCCGATGCTTTTAGCAGGCAGCAAGTTGCGCCTGCTTGTCCACTTGAATCCCAGCAAGTACACTTCTGCACTGTGTACATCAGAAAAAGAAAAGAACAATGTAGATACCATAGAGGGTTTCTAGTGCAGATATATACATATATATATATATGTATATGTGTCTCCCGCCCTTGTTGTTCCGGAAATGAACCTGGATCCCCAGGGTGTCCATTTCCCGATTCGGAGCCTCCTATCAAATTTTGGGGTTCCTTCCGTCAATCTGCAGGGGGCAGCCCCGCACCCTCCCTCGGCGAGTCGGCGCATGTGAGGAGTACTCCGCGCTGGCGGTTGGCCTCAGCCTGTTGGCCGGGTTTTACAGCGTAGGCTCGGAGCGCGACAAAAAGTGGGCAAGGAGTCAGTGAGTAGCTTTTTGGATGGAAAGGGGTATGGCTCGTCGAAAGGGGGACCCCAAAAAGAAGATGGACTTTGGGCTTAGAGGAAACCCCTTGAAACTTGGTCCAAAAAGGGGGCGGCCTTCCAAAACGAGAATTACGACTGGCAAGTCACCAAGTCACCCCGAAGTTGCTAAGGACCTTGCTCTTTGAATCAAAGCACGCGTTGAAGGTGGAGTTGAGGCCTCCCACCGAGTTACGAGGCCCTGTTGTTCATCGGGACCGTCTTTCCGGCTTCTCCACCAAAGATGTTCAACCCCAAAGGATTCTCTTTTTTTACTATCACTGAACTGGGAACAAGATGATCGGCAACCTTTCGAGCAGCATTCGCCCAAAGTGATGCGAGTTTGGCCCGCATCATTGACAGGCTCAGTCATGGGGCGTCTCTTCGATCATGTTGGCTTTTGTGGGATCGAGCAAGCCAGCTTCGGTTTGCTGGGCTCCGAGGAGTTCCCCGAAGAAGCACGGAGGGTTCCGAGGAGGGTTCTGCACGGGGGAGGGTCGAGAATGCACGGAGGGTTCCGATCTGATGTGCCCGACGCTGGGGATATCACCTGAGCTTCTCCAGTTCCCTGGTGACCATTTTGGTGGCTTGAACGATGCCCTTGCTCGCTTGCCCGCTGCAGTTGATCCAAACATGGACATTGGAAACAACGGAGCCTAGCGATTTACCGCAAAGTACCGGGATTTGTTTTTCCGCGTTGCCCCCTTTGTCCCCTCTTGCCGCGTGGATTCAAATTGATATCCTCGCGCGTTTCCAGTGCCCAGAGCCATTGGACAAGCGCAGGCCACGTCTCCGGGGGCATCTTCAACCCGGCGGTGGCGCTGGGAATGGACCTGTCCAGCGCCTGTGCGCAAAAATCGGTTCCTTTGGGCGAGGTTCCAACCCAGGGGCGCTTGATGCCCCCCTAGTTTTAGGGCTGCCTTCAACGAATCCAACAGACAAATGGGCCGTTGTGGTTTGGAGTGCCTTCTGGCGTCCTTGTGGGGGCTTTCTTCGTTTCTGAAGGTAGGAGCGCCATGCTCAATGAAGGTGCCATGATGATGGAGTATATATGGGTGAGTCTTTTTTTGGGGGCCCCAAACAATTGTCGGTTTCCTTTTGGTTTCCCTTACTTGGATGTGGAACTGCTCGCCGGGACTTTTTCGCATTTGTGCTTGCGTTGGGTTAGTTACCAGGCAGTCGGACAAACGTTCAGCCGTGGTGTAGTCTGTGTTTCAAATCAAGGGAATCCTCGAAAGTTGTTTTTTTCAACTTGTTTCGCTTGAAACACCGCCCAGGCTTCCAAGCAAGGACTCGCCCATTTCAGGCTGGAGAGCCAACTACGTGGGCCTCTCAGCCTACTACATGCTCTTCCAATTCCCTGCCGCGCTTTGCGCGGCGCTGCTTTTCGCCAAGGCTGGGTCCCGAGCTATATTCCCAGAGGGTGGGGAAAATTCAAAATGTGACGTGCGACAGCACAACGAGGCCTAAAACCTTAGCCCCTGCACATCAGCCCCTCCTGGCCCCCCACTGAAAGTCAGCTGCCGCTTCCCTCGGCCTCTGGACCCCGGCGCCGAGGTTCGGCCCGAGCTTTTCACAGATGCCCCGCGAGAAGGCCTTGCACGCGGGTGAGGGAACAACCGTGGTGCGGGATCAAGCAGCGGGGTTGGTCCGGTTTGTGTATATTATTGGCTTAGATACATAGGGGGATGATGTGTTTCTTGTCTTTTGTCTGCATTGGCTTGCACGTTTCTAGCGTCTTGACTTTCTTCGGATCCCAAGCGAGGCGGCCAAAATGACTGAGCGACCGGCAAGGCACCTTGCTTTCAGACCCTTTACGCCTGTCCCTGGGATGGGCATGCCTCATGCGGTGCGTGCGAGCCACGGTCCAACCAAAAAGACGAAGAAAAAAGAAAGATGATGTCCACAAGTCCTCCTTTTACAAAACTAGGACTCAGTAGGTGACAGTGAAGCTCTTGCTTATATGAAGCAACCCGCTTCTTTTCATCAAAAACTGTGTCGCTGGGCTGGACGATCCCTAGGTCCATCGCTGTTTTCGCAGCTTCTCGGCGAGTTTGTGGGGAGCTTTCTGGTGGCGCCTGGGCAGGACACATAAATATTATATATATATATACATATGCTCTCCCCCCCCCCCCCCCGTGGTGGCCCCGTGTTGCTTAATTTGACAGCGCAGGCTGTATAGTTTTGATTTTGCAGTGGGTGCACCGTGTGTCTTTTTTAGCAGACAGGCTGTAGTTTTTAAACTGTATTTTGCAGCAGACTGAAGCAGAGACACTCAGGCTCGCGGACAATCATGTCGATTTCATCTAGTTTTGGACAGAGAGCAATTCTATTGCACAACTCCAAGAAAGAAAGCATTCCAAGCAAACATGTATCAACATGTACACATGCTAGAAGCCTCAGGAATTCATAGCAACTGAACCCACACAAGGCAAATTAGGTACCGCTCGAACAAAACTGTTAGAAGGCCATTGATTATGATTCTGTTGTTGGCAAGATTGGCCACTTGGTTTTGCACAGAAAAAGCTGTCTTTCCGTGATTTTCTTTGCGCAAGTTTCTCTGCGTAAGTTCTCTGAGCAAGTTTCTCCGAACAAGTTCTGAGCAAGTTTCTCCGGGCAACAAACACATGAGTGAAACGCTTCGATGAAAGATGGTAAGGGAGTATCTACCTTTTGCACACAAGAAATGCATATGTTCTGGATTCAAGATTCACAATGGCCTAGGAAAGCTTTCTCCAAGTCTTGACTCCAGAACAAAGCCCATGGAGTCAGTTTAAGCCTATAGTATAGTGTAACTTCATGAAGCCGTTGCTCTGGTTTGGACAACGTAATTCCATTACAACAAGGAAACTAAATTCCCAGCATTCCAAGCAAGATGTAATATGTAGACATGCCTTCGACCCCGGGGAAATTTTACAGACACGGGACCAAGAAAGGAAGCTTGAGTATCCCTACAAAAAAAAGCGACGCATGCTTTCAAGATTCAAAAATCACAATTGCCCAGGAAAGCTTTGTCCAGAAAACGGAGAATATTCAACATTGAAGCTTGCCCATGAAAATGGTTATGCTTTTGGTCAACTTGCCCCCCGAAATTATGACTACTGAATCTGAACATTCCAATACGGTACGTAGATCCGCAATGCAGAACTTCTGCTTTGAGGCGAAATCATTCCTTTAAATACCTCCATATAAAATCTAAATACCGGCATTCAGGTTTCTTAGCACTGCCACGCAGTTTCCTTACCCGGTAAGGAATCTGGATCCAAGATCCAAGATTACGAGACTTTTTTCGGATCCAAAGTGTCCCTTATGCCGTCCACCACCAAGGGATCTTGGAGATTCCTTACCGGGTACATTAAGGAAACTGAATACAGTACGAAGAAACCTGAATACTGGTGTTAAGGTTTTTTAGGGGAGGCATTGCTTTCTCTCCAAAGTCTCCCAGAAATCTTGTACCGGGTATTGAGGAAACTGCATGACAGTGTTAAGAAACCTTAATACCATTTAACACCGATATTACTCATTATGGCACACCCCCTTCTTTGGTGCCCATGTTTCTTTGGTACATTTTGCTTGGATGTTAGGACTTTAACTGTTTGCCAACTCATGGGTTTTCCATTAAACCACTAAAAGTTAAACGTTTAGCGGGGGAGCAGAAAGCAACCGAGGTTTGGCATTTACACATCCTGAACAAAATGGCTAAAATGCACAGAAGCGGGGGCACCGGCAAGGGGGGGGTACCGTATATATATATATATATATACATGTCTCGCTCACCAATTCGTTGGTGAAAAGCGCAGGTCCTTTGGGAAGTTTGTTTTGCTCAAGCCAGGAAAGCCCAGCAACGGGGGGTTCCTTTTGTCGCTCCCGTTTGATTCCGTTGAAGCTGCCTTCAAGGGATCCAAAAGGATGCCACAGTCAGCTGGGTACCAACCAAGGAGGCTGGATAGGTCCGGAAAGTGATGTCTGTTATTCGAAGTGGCTTTCCCTAACCCAGTTCGGTCCCTTTATGCGCACGGCTTCATGGCTGGATGTTGCTGGCGGCTGTTGTGTACCTGTCTAATCCCAATAAAACGTGGGGGACGCCCTGGAAACTGTGCACCCTATAAAAGAGGTCCCCCCAAACAGACGGTTCCCTCATCATGAGTTTTCGGCGATGTTCTGAACACACGAACCCTGAACATGAGTTTGGGAAGTGCCAGACGAGTGAGTCCCCATCTACCATGGCTCATCATACCTCCTATGAATAACTCTGCCCCATAGTTGTTATGGGATGCAGTAGGTACAAGTAGAAGAATGTGGGTGTGTCTTAAAATAGCGGGCCCCAAAAACGGTGGTGCTCCTTTTAGTTTCCCGCTAAAACCGCCGAAAACGGGGGTTACCCTCAAAGAAGTACCTAATTATGTACGGGAGATCCAGTCCAAAAGCCATTGCTTCCTGGAATCTGAGAACGGGCGAAGAAGAACTGGAACAGTGAGCCCAAAAGACTAAGCCAAAAGTTCAGAAAATGTTCCCTTCTTCAGAGCCTTCATGTCAAGTCACCCCTTTCTTTGGGGGTTTGAACTGGTTGAGGGAGTTTCCCCAAGCGATTCAAAACAATTGACGTGTTCCTTCCACTTGCAGAAATGAATATTGCGTATGTTCCCTTGTTGGTTTTAAAGGGAACCTATCACTACTGCAAATATGTTTGTTAAGCAAAATGGAAGCATTGGGGTATCCATTCCGCCTCGCGAAGAGATCGGCGCGGATTTTGTCCATGGGACCTGAAACCTGTGAGGTTTTTTAGGGAAGACCTGAGGTTTCAGAGAAAGCCTTGCTGGTGCCCACTAGAAAATGTGGAAAAATCAAGGATTCCCTTAGAGGACACCATTCCGCAATTGGAATTTCTTAGAAATGGTCATTCATGTCATTCCATTTTTATCATTCCCAGCTGAGTGAGCCCCGGTTTCGCCTTTTTGGAAGGGTTCCCACGCGCGCCCGCTGGGCCCAGGTGCTGACGGCGGTGGGCGCTTCGCAGGCGGGGGCGGCGGTGGCGCCGCTGAGCGTGGCCGCAGCGGTGGCGAGCTTGGCCTTTGCTTTGCAGAAGGTCTCAGGACCGCGCAGCGAGACGCGGTTCGGGGGCGGGTTCGGGTGGGTTCGGCGGGGGAAGGAGGGGGAGGGGGACAGGGTGAGGAGGTATAGGTGGAATGGTTGGGTTGAAGCTTTCGGACTTCAGTCACTTTTTGGGTTTGGGAAGGACATTTTAGTAGTAAATAAAGAAAAGCTTGGACTTGTTTTGGCCAATCCACTCAGGAAGTGAGGGGATGCTGGAGAGGGTGGGGGTGACCGGGTGGAGGGGGATATAGGTGGAGCAGAGGATGTCGGAGATGATGAGAGATGGTTGGGTGGAAGCATGTGGAAGCCAAGTTGCAAGCAGACAAATTGGTTTAAATGGATTGACCAAGCAGATCCCCACCCCCTTAAGAATGGAATTGCGGGAGGGGGGGGGGGACCCTGGAATTCCATTTATGGTTCGATTTCCCCTTTTATGGGGAAGACTAGACAAATGGAATTGGGGACCCCCACCCCGCTCCCCTTATGGTAAGGGGGATCCAAGCAGATTGGCAAAAGTTGGTTTGAACACACTTTTGAATTGAGGGTGCCATGTTTGGGGTTGGCGAACAGGGAACCGACACGGACACCATCCCCTGAAGGGTACCATCATGGGCTAATTGTGGTTTGAAGATCAAGCTGGTGCGACCATTCCGTATGTCAACACATTCTCAACCCGGTCTCAGCACAAAGGTACAACTTGTTGCTGTTGTTTTGTTTGAAAATGTTCACACCATCATCATTGCTTGCGTACGCATGCCAAACCAGTGGCAGACCTACGTGTATTTCAAACTTAAGCAACACTGCCACGACGCAAGTCAGATGGAGTACAGCTCCTTCGCAGCTAGCACATGATCTGAACATTCGCAGGCAACATGTTACCACCACGAACACGAGTCAACATTGGAAACACTGATGTAAAAATAGTCTGAACAGAAGCGAATTTGCGAGTCGCTTCATTGAGGTGTGTCTTGTTGGTGGACTCCCAAGACATGCTCAGTCTGAGTCTATCGCCAACTGAAGTGTCGGTTTTGTTCCAGAAGGCATACATGAGTTCTTCAGCAGCCAGTGCATTTAAGGCTTGAAAGATGCTCGTCTTTGCAGGGCTCCTTAAAAGATACACTTTGCCCATTTGAAACATGCCTTTTTCCACCAAAATAAAAGGGAAGCCACCATTTACAAGGCAATGTTCAGGTGTATAATGTAAGGATCTATGCTTTGCTTTGGCGTTGCTTCGCCAGGCGGTTTGACAAAGGCCGATATGATAAAAATAACGAACAAGAATGGTCGCGCCGATTGATTTGTGCTTGGTGTTTTTTCTTTCTGGCTTGTACTTCCCCGCGCCGAAGAGAAACATCTTCTGAGGCAACTTTGGACCAAGTTGGGTTCTCGCCCCAAACAACAACTACACGAGCGGAGCGACTGAGCGTCTCATCGATTCAAAGCGTCCAGGCGGGCACTTTAACCCGGCAGTGAGCTGCGCGCTATATCTCGCCGGTCCGGAGCCCTAGCCGAGCCGAAAGATGCTAATTTCCTAGCATGCCAGGGTGCCAACTAGGCCCATCAGGTGCCTCTTGCATGGCAATAACTAGCCTTTACACCATATGTTGCTTGGGTTTTAGGGCATTGCCCGCTCAAGGGGCCGGTTGCTGCCTTGCAAAGGCATTTCTGAGGCTTTGAACCTTGCTGCGATGTTTGTGACAAAATCCACAAACATATTGTTCAGTTGGGACGGATGAAAACTGACGTGTGACTGGGAGAAACCACCAACTGGGACGAACATCAGCACCAATTGACAAGCTCCTGCGCTGAAAGACCAGGGAGAGTGTGTATGTGTGTGTGTGTGTGAGATTCAACATTCTTCTTCGCTTGCCGTGTGTCACTTTTGCAGTTTGAGCCATTTGAGTGGTTCTCAGAAAGTTCCTGGACTTTAGTCACATTTTTAAATTGGTCTACGGGTTGCTTCCCCCTTCTTTTCAACCATCGCTCTTTTCGCAAAACCGATCGCTGTTTCCCCAGGGTTTTGGGTGGTTTAGAAAGAAGGATGCCTGGAAAGAATGGGGAAGCGTACTTTGGAGTATTAAGGACCCTGTCCCTCTGGATTACCCTCAATTTCCCCACCCCCAACCCCCCAACCCACCCCCAACTAGAATTTGGCGCTCAAATCATGGTCGACCATTCAGAAAAAGTATGGTTTGCTGGAGCAAAGCTGAACACATGAAGGATCTTTGCAACTATTGGGATGGTTGCATTCCAGGATTGATTTCAGTGGCAAACCCCCCAACCCCTCCCCCAACCCACTAGAATTTGACGCTCAAATCATGGTCGACCATTCAGAAAAAGTATGGTTTGCTGGAGCAAAGCTGAACACATGAAGGATCTTTGCAACTATTCGGATGGTTGCATTCCAGGATTTGTTTCAGTGGCAAACCCCCCAACCCCTCCCCCAACCCACCCCCAACTAGAATTGGACGATTTCAGTGGCAAAAACCCTCGGACGTCTCTTGGTGCCGTGAGCGATGCACATCGTGAGTTCGCCGGCCGGCGAGGCCACAGCCGGCAGCTGCTGAGCTACGCCGTGGCTCAGCTGGGCGGTGCCTGGCTGGGAGCGCTGACAGCGACTGCGGCGGGGACGCCCAGTGCAAACATATCCAGCGTCTGAAAAATGGGAAGGTGCGGGGAGGGGGGGTAACCCCTGGAATTTTCCATGTATGGTGAAATCTACCCTGAACCCTGAACCCTGGAATCCCATTACCTGGCTCCCAGCCATCCGCTTCCTTAGCCTTTTAGCTTTTTAGTGTTGAGTGGCTGGATTCCGAATTGAACCCACTAAAAGTTAGTCACTTTTAGCGGGGGATCTGAGGACAGCCCAGTTACAAATGGGAATCGCGGGCCTGGAATTGTCCATTCATGGTTCGATTTTCCACTTTTATGGGGACCCAAGTGGGCCAAGTGGGGGGGGAGGTTGGGGTGGGGTTGGGGTGGGGTTGGGGTGGGGTTGGGGCAGGGCTTGGGGAAGGGGTTGGGGTGGTTGGCGGGGTTGGCAAGTTGGGTTGGGGGTTGGGGGTGGGGAAACTGATTGGGGGGTAATCCAGAAGAGGGACAGGGTCCTTGGAAGCCAATGGAAGTAGAGAAGGGGGCTTGAGGTTTCAAAAGACCAGCCCGATGTTCAAAGCCTCAGTTCCAAGGCTTCCGTTTGCTCAAGATGATTCTTTCTTTCTGTCATGACTCATATGGGTGTGTCTTCCTTTTTCGGACCTCCGCCCAAAAAAAGCAAGACGGAAGAAGAAACAACTACGTGTTTTTGTTTCATTGGTGTCCCTTTAAAACCAGAAAAAAAGGGGTCCCCCAAAACAATTGGTAGCACCAGCGGAAAGAGGGTGCTTCATCCACTAGCCTTGAGTTCGCGAGGTAATCAGCAGAGCAGATGCCGAGTCCCTTTGTTCCACTCCCCACTCATCTCCCCTTCCTTTGAGTACATTGAAGTGACATCTCAAAGTTACCCAGCTGGTGTAAAGGGAAATCACACCCCTCGAAATGTCCAAAGTGACCCTCTCACTGCAAAGGGACACCACACTGTCCCTCCCCCCCTCCCTCCCCCCCACTCCCCCCCTAGGCTCCACCTTTCTCTCCTTGCGCCTGCACCGCCCAAAGCCCAGCCGCCCCAAATCGCCCAGATCTTCCATCGGCCGCGGAGCTTCGGTCCGCGCTGGCCCTTTGGGCTGCAAGAGGCCGTGGTGGCCGAGGCGATCGTCGGCTTTCTGCCCCTCGGACATCGATGAGACGAGGTCCCCCAGCAACTGCCTGACCTCTCACCAACCTTTTTTGGGGGAGGCAGCAGTGCCCTTTCTTGCCGTTTCAACTTTTTGGTTGGGAGGGTTCCCCTACTAAAATGGACACCAGAAAAGAAACAGGTACCCTTATTCTAACCTGTCTACTGGAGGACCACTGGTAGAGAGCGCCTCCGAAGCCCACTGAGGCGCTGGAAGGAACCCTTGAAGGCCAGGCCAGTTTTTGTTTGACGGGTGCAAGCGCAAGAAAAAGGAGGCCATTCGGAGCCCATGGAACGGCTTTGAGTTGGTGAGGAAAATCGGCACCAAGAAGGCAGACGGACAGCTGTCAAAGTGAGGTGAGGGGTTGGGACCCATTTCTTGTGGCCGCCGTCACAGCCTCTTGTGGCTTTCCGGGTATCTTCCATGGCAGCAAGTCCTGCTTGCCGGTGCTTCAATCAATTTCCTTTTTCCCCTGTTTCGGTTGAAACCCTTGCCACGTAACACAAGAGATCGGAAAATCTCGCCGCTTACATGGAGGTGGGTCCGAAAATGCCATCTATTCTTGTATGGGAGGTTCAACTGACCTTGGGTTCCGAAGCAAGTGCTATGCCTCTCTTGGATTTACAGCATCTCTTTCTTGAAGCATGCAAAATCACAATGAACATGACCATATAATCTTGGAGCACTACGTGCATGTTGTGGACGACGAAGGGTGTTGCGCCCCCCCCCAAAAAAAAGAAAACCGAAAGAAGCAACCAAACAAGCAAGCAAGCAAGCAAACAAACAAACAAAAACAGAACAAGCAAACAACCGACCAAGCAAGCAAGCAAGCAAGCAAAAAATCACGCAAACAAGCAAACAAGAGCAAAGACATATTCAAACATACAAACAAAAACATAGACAGACAAACAAGCAAGCAAACATACAAGCAAACACATAGACCGACACACAAGCAAACAAGCAAGCAAACAAACAAGCGCCTCCAAAACTCAAGCAGTCGGATCTTGGTGGTGCCGCGTACCAAACCCTTTAACACGCCAGTAGATGAACATATTTCTCGGAAAGCCCTCGACATGTTTCAGAACCTTTTGCTCAGAGTTTTCAATGCGCGAGTCGCGCGATGCAAATGGTCGCCGAGGATTTGCTTCGTCGTGCTTGCCGTGAAGTCCAGAGCTGAGGCGATGGTCTTGGAACCCATTCTTGAGCTTAAGTCCAACACCAAGCTTTTCAACTTTTCAACTTGTGAGCTTTGGCCTGTCCCAACTTCTGTTTGTTTTTTGGATTCGCGCTCTGAAAGGGAAACCATCCCCCCCCAAAAAAAACAAGAAGAAGAAGAAGCAACAAATAGGTAACCACTCATCTTCACGCCGGGCATTTTTTTTTTCCGAACTCAAGCGGTCAAGAGCTTGGGTCCGGCACTTGGCCACCTTGGGCTCCCGGAGAAAAGGGATCCGGAAGCTGGGGGCGTTGCAGGTCCTCGAGATTGAGTTGCATTTGTTTGGCGGGTGGTGTGGTTTTGTTTTCCACCCGGGGCGTGGCACGGCGTTTTTTTGTGGTTGCTTTTTCCTCTGTTCTTTTTTTTCCTCCTTTTTCTGGCGGTGTTGTTCAACCCGGGGCGGAGAGAGACCTCTACTGGGTGCTGGTTTGGGCCTAAAACCAAATGCTGTGTGCTTCCAAGCCTTGTTGAAACTTGAACGGCGGCCCCTCTTATACGAGCGTGAAGAATCGGAGTTGACTGGTCTGCCATTGTCAAACTGAGCCACGATGAAGATGACCTTCGCCTTGGAAATTAGTGTTCAATCATCTAGAGCAGTTTTTCGGAAGGATGCTAGCTGCAGGTTGTGAGTACATGGTCATAAACTTTGCACATGAGTGGAAGCCTTCCCAGAAAGGTGTTCAGAGATTTTCCTCCTCGAAAAACGGTTCAACCTTTCTTTGGGATTCTTTGGTTCTAAGACTAAACCGATGTTTGTGTTGTTTGGGATAGGGTCCCCTCGTTTTAAGCCACCCCAGACGAGTGCCCTAAGAAGTTTGGGCCGAGCCGAGCCGATAGGCCTCCCAGTTCTCGGGGCTCGCGTACGGCTTCTGCATGCTGGCCGGCTTTGGCATCTGCCGCTGAAGCGTCGAACGCTTCAGGGTAAAGGCGAGGGGAGAGGCTCAGGCCCCAAAATGGATGCAGCGATTGTGACGTTTTACCACGGTTTTGGGGAGACCTTTCATGCCGGAAATTGATCAACTATGACTCAAATGGGCTCGGCAGGGGTCCCTGCCCTCCCTTCCAAGGTAAATATGCAGGGGACCTGCCATCCTAGCTGCACATTTAGCGGCAGGGAACGCCAGTTGGTGTTTGACGAATGGCCGTTTCATGAGTTGATGTTTCAACAGGAACGTCCAAACTTGGCAAAAGGTAAACACCTGGCTGGTTGGGGTTTGTCTCCCACCATGGGCGCTTCTGAGCCGCAATCAGAAGACAAATGACTTTGCTTTCGGACATGGGGGGCCATCACCCCAACAAAATCAGGCCGGTTTTGCGTTTCGCGCTTGCCTTGAAACAATATGACAGCAAGGAACCTGCCCATTTGGATGGGGTCCACGTTTTTTGTGAGAGCCCATCGGTGTCCACATGTTCACCAAGGAATTCCTTTTCACAAGGACAATTGCCCTTGGGTCCTTCAGACAAAGGTGTTTCCTGGATTTCGTCCATCCACAGCAATTATCCCTCTGGCTCTCTCACCAGCTGCAAATGCATCATTGGCCATGCATGGGTGTCTTATTGCGCATCAGGGAGAGAAGGCCACGGCAGCTGCCCAGGCGGCTCCATTTCAATGCCGTTTGGACATGGTCTTTTAAGGGTCCCATGTTGTGGGGGATGAGGATTTCTCCATGGCCGTCGTTGCTTATAAAACGCCTTTTTCAGAAAAAAAAACATCGTTGTGGGGATTGGAGTTCTCCACGGTCGTTGCCAAAATTTCAGGAGCCTTTTTCAGGCGGTGTTCGGTTCAAAACCGCCCTTGTTGGATGCCGAGATTGGGGTTTTCAGCGCACCGCGCCAAGGTCACATCTCCGGCGGTGCGCTGAACCCCATCATCGCCCTGGGCCTCTCAGTTCGCGGAGACCAGAAGACCTGCGCGGCGGGGGCGCTTGACCGTCGGAAACCAGAGCCGGGCCCGGTGGATGGGTAAAACGGTAAAGCCCCGCGATTTCTGGGGTATGTGGGTATGGGTCAAAAGTTATCTAGTGGGGAATGGCAGGTTTTAGTCCTTGTTTCCATTTTCCTTGGTTCTATTTTGGGCACCTGTTTTTGACCCACACTCATGTAGCAAAATGAGCGGAACACATTTGCAAGGAAGCAAAGGAAAGAAAAGGGACGCGATTGGGAGAGCTTCGATTTTTGACACCTAGCAGCAGACATTGCTGATGGTCCAGTCATGCCCAGTCTGGTTCTCCCGTGTCAAAGATGGGGGGGGTCTGTAATCTTCTGAAAAACAAGAAGCAAAAACTTGTGCCTTGATATAGTGCCCAAGCGTTTTGCCGAGAACTGCAAACGCGCCGTTCCTCATGAGCCTGGACCACTTGTAGTTCCTCATGGCGTTTGAGGGTAGCCTTTGGCTTGTTTTGGAGATAAACCATAGGGGCGACCACCCACCTTTGCACTTCGAGTCCATCCATTGATTTGTCCAGTGCTGAAAAAGCGAACATCCGTCAGGGCGAATCATCGGGGCTGAAGACGCCACTCTTTTTTCGGAAGCCAGCAATTAGCACTTAGCCAAAGGTTTTCCAGCCTCCATTAGCAGTCACCAAGGGAGTCACTTCAACGGCCCGGCCCGCTGCTCATTTCGAGTCCAAAATTCCAGGGATGCCCCACTTCGGCGAATCAGACTGGTTCGAACTGAGATGTCAGGCCTATGGGGTTGCTCATATGGGGGCGGCGGTGGTGGCCGCGATCGTGTTCAAGGCCCGATGAGATGCGTCTTTTGTGTGAACAAACAAACACATGGCACCTGACAGGGGCACCTGACGGGTCCCAGGAAACATGAGTTTCCAAGCTACCCTCCCACAAATGCTATAGCGAGAGGAAGTCTAGATTTTCTTGGGCCAGTGGAAGTCAGGGCTGGGAAACATGGTTCACTCCTTGCAGCTGGGGCGAATTGTGGGATGCGTTGTTCAGAGACAAAAGACCCCTGGGGTGTGGTATTCCTTGCGAACCCAAGGGGTGCGGAGAGAGATTTTGGACAAGCCAAGACGGGAATCGGCAAGACAGGCATTGAAGCTTGAATCCAGAGAGAGGCGTTAATAGCTGGAGCTGTTGGCTCAAGATTCAATACTTTGGTATACTTTGGTATTCTAGAATCTTGGTTCCAAGAAAGGCTTTCACTTTAAAGCAGTTTGGCCTGTAGCAGTGCTGGATACACAACTTACAACTAGAATCGCGTGAGTTCTGTGAATCCATTGAGGTGCAGTAAAGCACCTTTTTTCTCTCCAGAACTCTCACCAAGCGACCAGTCTAACGCAGGCCGGGGGACACGTTTTTTTGGGTGGGGATCCAAGCCCAAACTAAACCATGAATCAAACAGCGCGCCCACGACCCACTCCTAAACCAAGCCCAAGGAACGCACATTCCATTCCAAAGAAGACCAATCCGAGAGCCAGTATGAACCCAACCACCCCACCTCTCCAAACCTGAACAACCCTTGACCATCCCAAAAGAGGAGGCCCGAAACAACACACACAAACTGCTGTGAACGGCTGGTTCCTTAAAACTTACCGCGGGTGTTTCTCGGGAAATACACATGAAATCGCGCAGCCGTCAAGGCGTAGCCTTGACCCAACCTTGCCTTTGTTTCAAAAGGTAAATGGCCTCTTTGGGGGCGTGGAGTGCCCTATTTGGGCTTTGTCTCTTTTGAACGTACCCAGTTTCACAAGCAGAATCATAAAACACATATTTGCTTGATTTTTTTTTGGGGGGGTCCTAAAGAAGACCCAAACCAGCCATTGGGAGACCCGATGTTTTCTAGGTCATCTATGGCAGCGCTGGCTCCAAGGATTCCGCGCAGCTCGGGTTAGATTCAAGGTTTGGGAGATCGGTTTGTGGAAAGTTCCGGTCCAAAATGGGAGATACGGTGGATGGACGAAATCCCTTCGCACCAGTTTGAACCCAGGGAAAATTGTTGTTTGTTGGTATTTAGCGGGGAATCGAAGCATGGGTTTCGTCAGTGGTGCAGGATTTCGTCCACCCACAGTACTGCTCTACCTTTGAAGAAATTCCCCGGAGTTCTCTGGGCCCCCCCGAAAAAAACAAACGCCTTTGAGGAAATGTCCCCGAGTTTTCTGGAAGGCCCCCCCCAAAAGAAAAACAAAAAGGCGGGCGTGGCTTCACGAAAACAAAAGCCGCCGGGCATGTCCAATGTTTGCTTCGCGGTTGCCCAACGAAGGTAGCCTGTGTCATGGAAGTTGCATGCCCCCGTCTGCGAGGAGGGCCAAGGACTTTGGCCCGGGAATGGATCTCCTGTGGGGGTGGGGGTGGGGGAGCTCTTCTGCTGATTGAAGGCAATTCTCTGAGGTCAACGGCCACTGTATGGAAGATGCCATGCTCAATAAAATTCAATGCAACCCGCCCCAGACAGTTGCAAGAACCAATTCGACGGTGAATTGCGTGGTTTGCGGCGTGTGATGGTCTGTTGACCCCCCAATTCTTACACTGGCAAAGCTGTCAACTGCTTCCAGTTGTCACAGGTAACCCGTGCCAGAGACAAACTAGAGGTAGAAATACCCAGAAACATAGGTGTCCTTTTTGGTTGTTTTGCTAGAAAGTTAGATGGCGATTCCTGGCTTACCTGGTGGCATCATCTACCAGGGAAATCCATCTATTTCCCCTAAAAGGACATGCCCAGAAACCTACGGAAGCTCTGAGTTGAGGTGAGCCGAGCGCTCCGCATTGTGTGACTCGGCCCTTTGGCGGTGCTCGGGACGGCCATTGCTTGGCATGCAATCATGCTGGTTTTTGGAGAGTATCCCGGAATTGACACATACCCATATGGGGCTTTCTTGGGGGAACCTGGAATTGACACATGGCTGTTGGTAAAAAAAATATGTATATGGTACCAACAAATGGGTAGGTGCACCCATTTTAGAACCGATTTTAGTGGGGATTGGGATGTTTACTGGGGGTACGGGCTTTTGACCCATGGCCAGATACCCATATGGGGCTTTCTTGGGGGAACCTGTTTTGTGGCTGCAATTTATAAACCAAAGGGGCACCACCCGTTGGAGGGTTTCCTAAAAAACAGGCAAACCCTTGTATGCTATAAATGTGGTACCAGGGAGCAATCCCTGACTACTTCTCCAGGATTGATCTTGGATCAGTTTTTCATGGTTTCCCTCCACGGGAAGACGCGCCTGTTGAACTGTAATTTATTCCATGGTGTGAGCGGGGCAAATGTGAAGTGACAAGAGTGGAAGTGACAAAAGTGGAGGTGACAAAAGTAGAGGCCGCTATTGTGTTTGTTTGTTTGTTTGTTTGCTTGTTTGCTTGTTTGCTTGTTTGCTTGTTCGCTTGTTTGTTTGTTTGTTTGTTTGTTTGTTTGTTTGCTTGCGTGTTTGTTTGTTTGTTTGAAGAAAGTTTGTGTTTTGGGCTTTTTGGGTTGCAGACGAATGCCCAGCGGAGCTATGGTGCATGCATTCACTTGATGTTCATTGCTAGAATCAACCAGAGGCCCTCTTTGGAAACTTCAAAGAGCACCTGCATGAGGTGGGAAGTTTGGTGTGAGCTGCATGATCCGGATTCCCCCAGCTCCAAGTGACGCTTGCAAGTGACACAACGGAAATGGCGACGGGGGAATCCTTTGCCACTTGCGCAGTGGTAGGAAAACAACGGACAATCTGTTTGCCCGGTATGACTTCTATTTTCTTGACACGTGGAATGCCATTTGCTTACTGACAGTTGTCTGGACACAGCGAAATCGGAAGGAACGAAGGGAAGGAAAGAAGGGAAGGAAAGATGTGAAGGAAAGCAGGGAAAAAGGGAAAGAAGGGAAGGAAGCAAGGAAGGAAGGAAGGAAGGGAGGGAGGGAGGGAGGAAGGTTGTTTGCTTTAGTGAGCAGCTTCTTATGCAGATATCGC